TTGTTATTTTATAGGATCGAAATCGCTTGCGTTGCGCGACCCAATGACAATGGCAATGGCATGCAGCCCTACTTCAGCCAAGAGACGCAAGCATGACACCACATCTTCAGGCGATGGAAGTGACCCTAATTGCAGCAATGACGTGTTCTACATTCCAGTGAAGGGACAGTACTACTACAATCTGGTCTCTGCTCTCTATAAGCAACTGTGTGTGCATAATGGAGATGTGGCCTTGTTTGAGGAGCTGCAAGGGAGTTTGGGATCTACACAGTCAGCTAACAATCAGTGAGTTTTATCCTCTTCATTTGATGTGCTCCAGTGTTTCAGCCAGCTATTTGAAGGCGCTTTTGAAATCTGCCGCATTGCTTTTCAGTTTGATCTAGTAGCTTTTGACTGGTGTTAAATAAAATGAAGTAGAAAGGTAAGAAAAATTTTTCTTAACAGTAGCAAAAACTTTCAGTATAAATTAGATTTTGAAGAATTTTTTTGGGGGTTTAATTTTTCTTGTTGATTTTGAGTTTTTTAAGTATAGCTGAAAGAGATAAAGTAACATATTTAATTCTGTTCTAGAGATAACGAATCAGCCCTCTCTTCTCTCATTAAAACCGACCATCAAAATGAGAACCAACACAACTCCGAAGATAACAACGCGCCACCGTCCACCCCCGCATTGGCCGAGACACCGCCAGCCTCTCCGGGTCCACAGGACGACAACTTAGATTTGAATTTCGGAGATCACGGAGATTTCGCAGATACAAGTATTGCGGCTTTTTTGAACCGTATCGGATGTAGCTACGCGATTGAGTGTTTCATGTCGAGAAATATTTTACATACGGGAGAGCTGGCACATCTAGCAGATCACGTTAGTTTATTCCTAAGTATTTGATTTGAACCGAATTGATTGATCGCTGATGATGCTTGCGATTAGTTGGAAATCATCTAAATATAACGAATCAAAAAGTAAAAAAAAATCGCTCGGAAAATATTTGCTTAAGTGAAGCTATAACAAAAGTGAAGCTATAAAAAGTTAGGTTTATCGCTTTTTCAGTTTTTTGGCATAAACCGATCACTTTTGATATATCAATATAATATCAAGTAAATACCAATATTGTGATTGCTTGCCGAACAGCTGTCGCAAAAAAACGTTCTCTAAATTTTAAATTGCATTTAGATATCAATAAATCGAATCCAATCAAGACCTTACGTTGAATTTTAAATAAACGATTAAATAAACAATCTTTTGCACGTAACATGAGTTCTTATACAAACAATAGAAATACACAAAAATGATGTTTTTAGATTTCATAAAAAAAATGGTCACTTTTTCCAAAATAAGTTGATTTTCTTTTATTGGGTTGTCAAATTTAATTATACACTCAGGGGTGGATTTAGGGGGGGGGCGGACGCCCCCCCCCCCCCCCCCAGGGATTCGACCCCTGCCGACCCAAAGGCCCCCCCCCCTTTGATACTTTTTAAGAAATCCATTTTTGGCCGACCGACCCTAAAATTTTTCTAAAGGCGCCTTTGGCGCCAATATATACTAATTTTGAGGGTGGAGCGCACGCCGAAAAAACCCGATTTTTTGGTCAAAATTTTCCAAAAAGTGTCTAATTTTCCAAAAAGTGCCTTTTTTGGACTGTTTTTTTAAATTTTTGCCTGCGGCGCGGAAAATTTGGCCAAAACAGGAACTAAATCGTGCTTAGGGAGAGCTCAAATCAATTCGGTCGACCTAAAAAAAAAGGTCGTTAAAATTTTTTGAAAATCCGCCCCCTCCCCTCGAGAAAATCCTAGATCCGCCCCTGTATACACTTGATAGTTTTGATACAAAATTTATATTCCAGGAAATCATTGGAATGAATCTTGATGAGGTGACCCAAAGCAAAATTCTACAAGCGAAGAGAGATCTAGCTGCCAATGGTAGTCTAACCAACAGTACATACCCCTCTCAGCAGTTCAGCAATTTCGACGACCCAGGAGATCAATTAATGGTGGTTAGAACAGCGTCGAATTCCTCCATGACAATCTTACCAAATGGTGACATGCGCCAAACTAGATACACTCTCCATCACTCGGTATCCTTTCTGAAAAGCGCGGGAAACTCTTTCGAGTTGAAGAACAACTCAAGTTTGATATAAAGGTCACAATCTTGGACAAACTGCAAAAAATGAAAAAACTGTTTCGACAATTAAAGAAGTCGAGTCGAGATTTAACAAGTGCAACAATCGTTTTTATAGAAACTAAGTTAAAAGCAATTTTTGTGTCGCAGTAAAACTCAAATTTAACTTTAATGCTAAAGATACTTAAACTTATAGAGGTATTTTGCATATGCATTTATAAAGTTATGGTTTTATTTATATCTTCCTTTATTTTTTGTTTCACTTCGTTCATTTGTCTTTCTAACTATGATCTTACGAAATTATCCATATCATTTTGTGTTTTTACCCTTTGTATCTGTGCTCAATTTGTACAATTTACGGTTCTTTGTGCGTTTGTTTTCTATTTGAGATTCGTGCGCACGCGTCGGGCTGTTCCAAATGCCTCTTTCTACGTGTTCATCGATTTCATTCTTGCGTAGAAACATTCCTGCGTTATATTGCAAAGATAGTTTTTCATTTGCAACTCGCTCATTTTGAATAGAAATCGGATCTAGGACTAGAAACTGTTTTTAGGACCAATTTGGTTGAGCAGTTCGAATTCTGTTGCTTTTTAATGCAAAAATAGGTATCACAACACAAATTGGTATTACATGCTCAGTTGGTGACAAGTTTAAGTTAAAATAGCAAATCCTTCTTTAATACCGTCCATTGCAAGTTATTGTGCTGTAAGTTTAGTATTAGTTTTCTAATCTTTACCTGAAGACGAGTAATCGAATTTCAAGATTGTCAAATATTTCCGTCAGACATGGTTTTTGACTTACTGTGTATCGCGGAAGTCAACGGGTAATTGCTAGATTTGGCAATTCTGTTGAATATTGACTTGATTTAGCGATTAACTACTAGTTTTAACGATAGCCTTGAATTTTAAATGAAAACAAGACTGCTCGTATCAGGGCGAAGCCCTGAATGTTCCGACTGCCTTTTAAGGTTTATGGAGCAGCAGTAATAGCATGAAAAAATTAAATGAAATAAAATAAAATGAATTTTTTTTTTCTAAAATTTGAAATTTTTTATGAAAATCATTCCCCCACACGCCATGTAAAGTACAAAAAGTGAGATTTCGTTCCTTGCAACAAATCAGTTATGGCAAATAAGCTTCGTTCAACCAATTTGGAACGATTTATAAGACGGACTAAATCTCCGCTTACGCGTTAATAGCGAGAATTATATCGCGCGTTAATTGTCCCAAATTGCTCAAAATGACCAAAATGGCAATATTTAAACCCTCATAACTCTACGAAAAATGATCACAGGTGAAATATCTTTTCAAATTTAGGCTCAGGACAACAATATCTTTTGAATGATAAAAAAAAATCCGTCAAAAATGGCTAGTTGAAAAGTCGAAATTTGTCTGAAGAAAAAAAAACCCACCCCGAGCACAAATATTCCGTTACTTTCGTACCGAAAGTCGGAACAATTAGCGTGATGTGGCGATGAAGTCAAATATTTTCAAAGATAGCCTAGAATAGCCTATAACTCACTAGCGAAGCGTAGTGTGATACCACGATGCAATTTTTTCCAACCTAAGTCACAAATAAAAGTGTTCATTAAATGTATTGCCTTATTTGGTGGCACTTTTTCTATAATCACGATCTATAGCGTTGGAAGTTTCATAGGATCTGTTCTCAGCTCTATCGGTGACTAGTGTTTGCCGTTAGTTGAGCGTCCGTGACTCAAAGGGAAGGACGTGAAATTCCTATGTTACAAGGTGGAGGTTCAATGCCGCACTTCGCACTAGTTATTGTTCCGACTTTCGATACGAAAGTAACGGAATATTTGTGCTCGGGGTGGGTTTTTTTTCTTCAGACAAATTTCGACTTTTTATTTAGCCATTTTTGACGAAATTTTTATAATATCATTCGAAAGGTATCGTTGTCCTGAGCTCAAAATTGAAAAGATATTTCACCTGTGATCATTTTTCGTAAAGTTATGGGGCTTTAAAGATTGCCATTTTGGCCAATTTGGGACAATTAACGCGCGATATATTTCGCGCTATTAACGCGTAAGCGGAGAGTTAATCCGTCTTAGAAATCGTTCCAAATTGGTTTAACGAGGCTTATTTGCCATGATTGATTTGTTACAAGTAGCGAAATCTATCCTTTTGTACTTTATATGGCGTGTGGGGGGATGATTTTCATAAAAAAATTAAAAATTTTTGAAAAAAAAATTTTCTTTTTGTTTTATTACTTTTAATTTTTTAATGATATTACTGCTCCATAAACCTTAATGCCCAGTCGGAACATTCAGGGCTTCGCCCTGATACGAGCAGTCTTGTTTATCTTTGGTGGCAGTTTCGCCGGATAGGCGTCTGTTGCTTATCTTTGGTGGCAGTTTCGGCGTCTGTTGCTTAATGGAAAGGACACGAAATTCTTATGCTACATGTTGAAGTTCAAAGCCGCACTTAGCACTAGTTGTTCCGACTTTCGATACAAAAGTAACGGAATATTTGTGCTCGGGGTGGGTTTTTTTTTCTTCAGACAAATTTCGACTTTTTAACTAGCCATTTTTGACGGAATTATTTTATATCATTCAAAAGGTATTGTTGTCCTGAGCTCAAATTTGAAAAGATATTTTACCTGTGATCATTTTTCGTCAAATTATGAGGGTTTAAAGATTGCCATTTCGGCCATTTTGACCAATTTGGGATAATTAACGCGCGATATAATTCGCGCTATTAACGCGTAAGCGGAGGTTTAATCCGTCTTATAAATCGTTCCAAATTGGTTGAACGAAGCTTATTTGCCATAATTTATTTGTTACAAGGAACGAAATCTCTCTTTTTGTACTTTATATGGCGTGTGGGGGGATGATTTTCATAAAAAATTTCAAATTAAAAAAAAAATTCTTTTTATTTTATTTCATTTAATTTTTTTATGTTATTACTGCTGCTCCACAAAACTTAAAAGGCAGTCGGAACATTCAGGGCTTTGCCCTGATACGAGCAGTCTTGTTTTATTTATATTTGGTTGCATTTTTGCCGTATAGCATTGGCAATTTATTAACATCTATAACTGCATCATTGTAGCTAGTGTTGCGATATTTTCCATAACATGTGGTGCAAATGCTAGAACGTGATACTCCAAAGTCGCAGGTTCGAATCCGTCACATAGCAAAAGTTTTACAAATTTGAGGCTTCTTTCTTTCTTTTTTATTTAATCTTTAGCCGCTTTTTTGTTTTTTCACTTGTGTTTGCGGAGCGCATATTTGCCTCTGTATTGAAAATAGAGTAATGTGTTGATGTAGTTAAATTGTTTCAACGATATCCTAAAATTGATTATTTATTTTTAGGTCGTTTTGAGTTGCTATGGGCTCAATTTAACAATTATAAATTACTCTCAGCTGGACTATAAGAATGTTCTGCTTCTAGACTATTCCTCATGTTTTTTTTTTACAAAATCAGCACTCTAGGCAAGTTCAAATTGAATCAACTTCAAGGCTAGACAGTAACCGCCAAATTTTTGTCTGAACTTGAGTTTTTACGTTTCTAAAACGAGCGAATTAAATACACCAAACCTCTCTTTTGTCATGAAATAGCAATAATTTAGCTTCAAACTTTTGCAGTTTTTTCTAGCTGCTCGACTGGGATATGGAAATAGAGTTTGAATTTGAGCTTGATTGCTCGACTAGTTTAAGCTTTTCCGAACCGATTCTCGCCGTGAAACATTACTGAAGTTTTTCAAAGTTTTATCACATTGAGGATGTGCCGATTAAGGCTATGGAATTGGTCTGAAATGATTTGAGTTTCAATAACCTGGTGATATTGCTCAAAAGTTTCACTTAACGGAAAGCGATTCATGTTATGAAATATTTCAAAAGCTACTCAACATTTTTCAAACTTTCATATCGCTCGATGAGCTTGCTTGAGAACCTTAAATTTTTGAGAATCAATTCAAGCTATGGAAACAACTTGATTTTTTTCAAAGTTATATCACTCAATGAGCTTGCGATATATCACTTCAGGAGTTCTAATTTGAATCAATTGACGCCTGTTCCAATTATTTACAGATCTTACTCATTCATGAGGCAATAAAATTGGGAGACTTTAGAACGTACAATGCAACCCCCCTCCGCTTTTTTTTTCCTTTCTATTGTGCTCCATTAATTTTCTGAATTCAAACTATTTAAATCATCACTTTCGGAAAATCAGGATTTAAAAGGTCAGCGATCGTCGATTTGTTTTCAAGCTTTTTCAGATATGTTTTTAGTTCTAATTTGCGACACCGTTGCGACCCTATATTCAATTTAAGTACCAATAATGTTGAATTAGTTTTCATTGAAAACATAAGAAACCTCGTGTAATAAGTATAGAATTCTGATTTTCTTGTTGTTTTTGTATCTCCTTTTTGTCGTTCTTTTGTTTTTTAGAAAATTTTGTGGAAACTTTGTGAAAAAGTTGTGATAAACTTATTAAATAGAGAGTGATGAAACACTAGTTGCCATTCTTTGGGCACTGACTACTAACTTCAGCATATTATCCTTGACACCAACAGCACCATTATTCCTGGCATTTTCCTGGCTTCACACAATGTCAACACCAATGCTTCTGATGCTGCCCGACGACTTCACGAAACTCAATCCCGAACAAAAAGATAAGTACTACGTTCAAATATATAACCTTGTCAATGTACTAGCAACATCCAGTAATCCTCCAAACAGTAATCAAAACGCAAAAGGACTCAGAGCACCTATTGATTTTGCTGCCAAAGTAATCCCCACTGATACTCAAAACTTGATTATTGGTTCGAGTTTTTTAGCGGAGTTTGACACGAAGGAGCTGCCCAAAGACGTGGCCGTTCATTCTTACCGCGGGTCATTTTGCAGCGAGAAACAATCAGTTGTGAAAAAGTACGACGATACTGAGCTGAAATCAGTAACCTTCCAGGACGGCACCAATTCACTCACAAGGGAACTACACAAACCTGTAGATGATATATTTGAAACTTTTTGCGCCACCATTAGTGAAATTGAGACAAAGTTTTCACCTACAATAATCAATATATGCCAAGTCCCGCCTGTGAAATCGGGACCCGATTCTGTAAGTGGTAAACGTATAACTGAATTCAACAGCCTTATTGCTCATAAATTTAAGAAAAAAAAGTATCAAATTGTTCCTATATACGATAAAATTGTCAGCATAAACGACTATCAGTCAATCTTCTTTGATGAAGTACATTTGATGCGTTCTGTTAGTACTTTAAAAAATGCAATCATGGAAAAGGTGCTACCATTATCCAGCTTATCACCTCGAGTTGTTTCTCCGAATACTTCCAACTCTAGGGGCCCAGCGCACCCTCAGAGGAATCGTATGAAACCTGGTTCAAGCCAAGTCTCGTGGGGCCCCGAGCACCCAAAGAGTCTTGCGAGCCATGGTTTCAGCAACAATCAA